TACAATATGCAAATCAGATCCCCCCCTGCTGTGTATTTTGGGTTTCCACCATTTGACAGTTATAATTTACATTCTTTGAGGTTCTATACCATGCCAAGTGTCCATACTTTCCAGGGACAGTCCTAGAATTACAAACAAGCAGGCAGTGGCTTCTGTTTCTTCTCACTACCATGTGGAAGAGCAGTCCCACGAGGCTCCTGATAGTATGGTCAGAATCAGGGTTTGGGCCCCTGGTGGGTGCCTGACTTTTGATGCCTGACCCCGCTGTCAGTGCAAGTCTATGTGGCCTTAGCGACTCAAATGCGCACTGGATTTATTTCTCTTAAGCTAATCTTGACCAATTACTCCCACGATGCTGAGAAATATAGACCTGTCTCTTGGCAGGGGTGCAGGCATCTCTCTCATAGCTTTGTACCTTTCAGTCTGAAATTCAGAGAAATCCTCAATGCGGCTTAAGATGCTTATGATCCCGGCTCATCGTTTTTGAGTGCCTCCGATGAGCTCAGCTGAAGAACCTCGTAACATTTTATTGCCAGTGCTATTTGCCCGAGAAACTGATCCCGGGCTTTTGGACACCCAAGAGGAAGGACTGCTGGTTCAGAGATCTGGGATGAGCACTTCCAACACCAAGATGCAAAGCGAGTTGAGATGACGTGCTGCTTTTGAGGACAGAGCAGTCACACGAAGTCCAGGGTGTCAGGAAGTCCACTGTGCCTGCCAGCATTGAGATCCAGCCAAAGGACAGCAAGTGATACCCAAGCATAACCTCAAGATATCCTTCAAGGCTCCTTCCTACATCTGCCCCTTTATTTTCTGGGAGTAATTGCTGTAGAGAGTATTAAGTCTGGCTTTTCAATCCTGCCTCTTGCTGTAGATTAGATTCAATTAGGAAGTGGCTGTGTATGGGCAGGTCTCTCCTATATCCCTGATTTCTATGGCTATGCAAGTCTCCAGTTCTGCAGACCACATGCCTAAACGAGGAAAGACGTTATGATGTCACTCCTGAGACTAACATAACATATCCCATCAGATATGTTGTCATGTGAATTTCACCAACTATTCTGTAAGGCATTGGGTTAGGGGGACTTTTAAACAGTTTAGAAAAGAAAATTCTCAGAAAAATGTCTCAGAAAAATCTCTTCCAATAAGTTTAGATTCCTATAATACTGAAGAAAATCATATTAGTAATTCAAACTGATGGATGAAGGAAGCAAGGCTAAGAAAGGCTGACTGGAGGAAATAGGGCCAAGCCCATTTTTGCTTTCAAAAATATTAATATATATAGTATTAGGTTAGATCAACAGCAGTACCTAAAATTCACCACCCTACCTTGAGATGTTGAAATAGAAGTGCGTTTTTTTTATTCTCCTAGGTGAGGTCCAACAAGAAAACGCTACTCCTTTGTGCATTGAAATGTCACATTTGCACATGAATCCTGCAGTTCCCACATGCTTCTGCATTTGTGTGATGTTCCACATCCTGTAGGGATGCGGGTGACGCTGAGGGTTAAACCACAGAGCCTAGGACTTGCCGATCAAAAGGTCGGCCATTCAAATCCCTGCGACGGGGTGAGCTCCTGTTGCTCGATCCCTGCTCCTGCCAACCTAGCAGTTCGAAAGCACATCAAAGTGCAAGTAGATAAATAGGTACTGCTCCGGCGGGAAGGTAAACAGCATTTCCGTGCGCTGCTCTGGTTCACCAGAAGCCACTTAGTCATGCTGCCCACATGACCCAGAAGCTGTACGCCGGCTCCCTCGGCCAATAAAGCGAGATGAGTGCCACAACCCCAGAGTCGGCCACTACTGGACCTAATGGTCAGGGGTCCCTTTACCTTTACCACATCCTGTGCTGTTTTCAAAAGTTTAGCACGTTCTTGGAATGGGCTGTAAGGTGGTGGACTGGGCTGTTCAGCACAATGCTCCAACTGGATGTGAGAAGTTGGCAGCGGCTGGTGCCCAACTCCACAGCCTGGCCCAACTGGGTTCAAACCAGGGTGTGCCAGAAGTGCTGTTGTGCAGTAGCAGCCGGTCACCCGAGATGCCATCACTTCCTCTACGAGCACCTAAGGATGGCAAAGCCCCACTTTTAATTATCCCGAAGCCCTTTTCTCGAAATACAAAGGAAGAACAGGGTGTAAGTTATGGAAATAAGGAACTGAAAATATATATAAAACCACAAAGCAATTTTCAAATAATAAATACTAAGGAGGCAGCCACCTCCCCCCGTCTACACTTATTTTTACTTCGATCAGGATTTCCTCCTGTTCTCAGTCACACACTCTGTGTCAGCGCCTTGAAAGAAAAGTCGTTCCCTTCTGCTGACACCCCCCCACTCCACCGGGTTTCCTTTCCAGACAATAGCTATTCTGGTCTCCCTTTGCGGATTTCCTTCCAGTGAATCGCACCAAGCCGTCAACTCAATGGCTCCCTTCCCCATTCCAATCTAGGAAAGTTAGCAGGGAAAGGCTGGATAATAAGCACACCTGGTATCACAGGGAACGAGAGACTGCCCAGAGTTCAGCAGGCAGGCTCAGCCTCTGGTCTTTTAGCACCTAAGGCAAAAAATTACCGTATTTTTCGCCCAATAGGACGCACTTTTCCCCCTCCAAAAATGAAGGGGAAATGTGTGTGCATCCTATGGGGCGAATGCAGGCTTCAGGAAGCTCTCCGCAAGCCTTCGGAACGCAGCGGGAGTGCCCACCCCGCTTCGAAGGCTTGCGGATAGCAGCCTGCAGCCCGAAGCCCGGGGAGCGCTGCGCAGCGCACCCCGGGCTCCGTGCAGATATCGTTCTCCTCCCGAGGAAGCTTGGGAGGGGCGCAACTTCACTCCCAAGCCTCTGTGGGGATTGCTCTCCCGCAGCGGCATGGGGGAGAGTTGCACCCCCCCCCATGGCTGGCAGTGCGCAGCTATGGCCACCCCAACACTATCCATGGTAATTTGGGGGCGCTGGGCGGATATTTGCACCCCAGCGCCGCATCTGCTAAAGACGGCCCTGTCCGGGCATTTACCCAGGCAGCCCGGTTTTGTTTCGGGAGAGAGGAATCCAAAAAAACTGCTCCAAGCTGCAGCTACTCTGTGGGTGTACCAGGTGTGGGGCAGACAGCTTTCCCAGATGAGAAACAATATCCCAGAGGTCAGGCGGAACCCCACTTCCTTGATCTATCTTGTCTAGGCTGAGTTTCAGTTTATTCGCGCTCATCCAGCCATATTGCTGACCTCAGACACTTGTTCGGCAGCCTTCTTAAAACAGCCCCCCGGGGTGAGGGAATTGGCTCAGGGCAACAGGGCACACAAGGGATACTTTAAATTTTATTCCACCGGGCCATTTCCTTGCGCATTGAAGCTGCTAAAAGTCTCACAGGGGACGATGGAGGGAGGGAGGGACTGGATACAACACAGACTATTGGCACAACGCAAATAAAGACTATTAAAATTATTTATTAAGCTTATGGTTAAAGCCAGCGTGGTTAAGAGTGTTGGACTAGGACTTGAAGCTCCGGACTTGGGCATAAAGCTCACTGGGTGAACTTAGGCCAGTCATTGCCTCTCAGCCTAACCTGCCTCACCTGTCGTGGTGATTAAATGACAGGGAGAACCATGTAGCTCCTTGGAGGAAAAACTGGAACATAAATGCAATAACTGAATAAATAAAATGAAATGAAACTTTCATGGACTAGAGTCCACTTCATCATATGCATAATTATCCTTCATTGGATCCACGATGAAGTGGATCCACATTATGCCAGAATAAAATCGGTCCAGTATACCTGAAGGAGCATCTCCATCCCATCGTTCTGCCCGGACACTGAGGTCCAGTGCCAAGGGCCTTCTGGAGGTTCCCTCATTGCGAGAAGCGAGGTTACAGGGAACCAGGCAGAGGGCCTTCTCAGTAGTGGCACCTGCCCTGTGGAACGCCCTTCCATCAGATGTCAAAGAGAACAACTACTGTACCAGACTTTTAGAAGACATCTGAAGGCAGCCCTGTTGAGAGAAGCCTTTAGTGTTTAATAGACTTTATTGTGTTTTAATATTCTGTTGGAAGCTGCCCACAGTGGGCGGGGTATAAATAAATAAATTAATAATAATAATAATAATAATAATAATAATAATAATAATAATATTATTATTATTATTATTATTATTATTATTATTATTATTATTATTATTATTTTGCCAGCATTTAACATTTTGCCAGCCTTTAACTTCTGTCTGCAAAACTTTGCCCTGAAAGGCAAGTCAGATATATTTAAACTAAGTTTATAAGAGGCTAAAGAAAGGTAAAGGTACCCCTGCCCATACGGGCCAGTCTTGACAGACTCTGGGGTTGTGCGCCCATCTCACTCAAGAGGCCAGGGGCCAGCACTGTCCGGAGACACTTCTGGGTCACGTGGCCAGCATGACATCGCTGCTCTGGCTAGCCAGAGCCGCACACGGAAACGCTGTTTTATCTTCCCGCTAGAAAGCGGTCCCTATTTATCTACTTGCACCCGGGGGTGCTTTCGAACTGCTAGGTTGGCAGGCGCTGGGACCGAGCAACGGGAGCGCACCCCGCTGTGGGGATTCGAACCACCGACCTTTCGATTGGCAAGCCCTAGGCGCTGAGGCTTTTACCCACAGCGCCACCCACGTCCCTTTATAAGAGGCTACACAACTGGTTTTTTCTGCTATGAAAATGGGCATAATATGGATGTCTTTCTCTCCTGTGGGACAAATATCAACTGGCAGAGGACACTGAGCTGGGAGAATTCATCGAATCCCCTTCCCTCCTTCTGGTGCTACTGCTCCAGGCTAACTAACTCTTATTTACAGCCTAGTGGTGTTTTAAAACACACACACACACACACACACACACACACACACACACACACACACAGATCTAGTCATGGGTCTTCCTGGTGGCATATTTTGTCCTTCAGAAATGACACGGAAAGAAGCCCAGGGTACACATATCTGACACCTAACCTATCTGATCTGCCGAGACAATAAATCAGATCAAGCCAGAAGGTTTTCACATTTTTATTGTAAAGCTTTGGGAGGGCTAATTACAGTGGAGTTTGTCATCTGACAGCTCAGCAAACAAACAGAATGGAAGAGAACAGAAAAGGGCTCACGAGGTGTCATGCTCACTGTTCCAAACAAAAAGGATTACAAGGGAATCAATTGTGCTCCTGGCGCCTGGGGAGAACGAAGCCCCGGGCCCAAAGCCATCCCAGTGCAAGGGGAATGCATCACATTGAGAGCAATACAACCTTAGCAAGAGAGGCAGCGCCTAAACATAGGTCACCATCTGAAAAATAGTTGGGTACTCTTTATTCTGCCGTAGGATTCCTCCTTTTAGAAAAAGCTACACCTGCATGTACATAAAACTGTACAAAAAACAAGGCATCACAAGCAAGGAACTGAAATCTCATATAAATAGAACCAACACGAAGAGCTACAAAGGGGTCACTTGGCTCCATCTTACACAGCTGGCCTGTGCCTGGCCTCCCACCTTTGGTTTTACCCCTGGCTTGTCCTAGTGCAGTGCTCAAAAGTGTCCTTCCCTCCCCCCTCGCCCTTCAATGTGCTTGTCTAGCCCAGGACCCTTGAGCTCCTCCTCCTTCCCCACCCCATCTCTGCGCACATAGGCTCTCTCCTTCTGGCTTTGACTTGTGCAAAATGAGCTTCTCCTGGTGGCACCTGGGCTCTTGGAGATCGCCTGCACCACCCTGTGACACCTCCCTATTCCGTGGCCTTTCAGCCCAATGGCACTACCGCTGTCCCCCCAAAACATCCTCACCTCTTCTGCCGCACGCGGGAGGCAGCTATGTCTTGAACGTGGTTTTCCTCATGGTTTTCCTTCATGGGACCAGAGACCAAGCCCTCTTTCCTCCCTCCGCCTTCTTTTATCCAATTTTCCAGGGGCAAACCAAGAGGGAAGAGGTGGAAGACTTTACACACACACACTCACACTCACACGCGCGCACACACCATGTCAGATACCATCAGATACACCAGTGTGGATTGATCCAGCCTGTCATTCACATTCACGTATCGGCCTTTGCCTAACTAAGAAGGGGACAAGCAACCCTAGCCTGCTTGGTACATGCTCATTTTGCTCCACGGAGCCCTGTGGCAAATGTACCCAAGGATGGGAGCAGCGTTCGGCTGAGGGCAGCCTTAAAATGCCCGTTGTCAAGCGAAAGGCCTGGGCTTTTCCGTTGTGTTCTTTTTGCTTTCTTTCAGCAGGCCCAACTTATGGACAGGCCTGTTTGAATGTCCCATTTCATAGGCATTTTTATTATTATTATTAAAAATGAAATAAGGTAACCTTACCTGGGAACCACAGGTATTCTCTGGTGAGTGAGCCTGGCTCCCATCTATGCCTTCCACAGCAGGGAAGTAATAATATGGAAGAGCAAGAGGGTCCCGCCCCCTCTCCACCTTAGAGTGGCACTTTAAAGTGTCTGGAAAGGACAATGTATGGTTCAGGATGGGTGGCTGAAATCCCTTTGATCCCTGGGCAGAGCAGATATAAGCTTGTGTTTGAGTGGGTATGGAAAGAACAGCCATTTCCAGCTCCTTCGAGGTCAAAGCTCACCACTGGCCACCCAGCCTCTTGGTACCAGAATAAATAGGTAGTGCAAGGCGCCCCCTACCATCTGTGAGTTGCTTCTGGACCAGCCCTGAGTCTCAGAGAGTGTAGGCAACAGAACAGGGAAGTCCTTTGCTCTCGTGCAGACTGCAAGTCACCAGGGATCGCAAATGGAGGACTCTAGTACTCCAGACACCTAATTCTCTGGTTGGTGGCAGCCGTTGAAGGAAGCTGCTTGTTTGCTCTGTTCTGCACTTTGGTGTCACCAATGCCGATGGTCAGAAGATGATAGTTCTACTTGGCGGGAGCCAGATGACACAATGGGACAAGAGGGTCCTATTAAAGCTTCTGGCTCTGGCCTGGCTGTTCAGTCCGAGGAACTTGGAGACTGCCCCTCCCCACCTACCTGCTTCCAGACTGTCAGCCCGGACACACACGCACACACACAACTGTACCACAAAAGCTACGGAGAAGTATCCCTGCAGATACCACGAGGTGCTTCCCCCCCTTCTCCCCAGATCCATGCAACAGAGAAAGTTGAACAGAGACACAGCAAAGGGTGACGACCAGTCTGCCTCCTGCAGCCCAGCTAAGAAGAACACATCCATGACCCATGGCAAAATGTGGGGAGGGGGCAGGGTCTATGGGCACCAGAAGAACCAAGTCCAATGCAGGGACCAAGAGGGCAGAGCCGGGCCCAACAAGTATCAGTGGTCAGGTGAACAGAGGTCCCACACTGGAGTTTGTACCAATGAATGTTGTGCGGGGCAAACAGTTGTATCCTCCATTGCCATGCAGATTGGAGTGAAGCCCCACCGCTCGCAGGGTGGACAGGTTGATGGGCAGGGATGGCCACGAGCTCTTGGCTATATGGAGCCAGGTCCAATTAAGTCAGGACACCTAGGAGCAACTGAAGAACCAAGTTACTTGAGCAGCCCATGGGTGGCTGGAGGTGGAAGAGTGCCCCTCGCCCAATTGGGGCTGGTCTTTTCACCCATCCAAGGGGACAACCCACTGATCAATGCTTCCAAGGGTAGTTCCATGATTTGTTACAGGGCCCTGCTGGAACCACGATACCACCAGAGAGTTCCTATGTGGCTAAACCTGTGGCACCCAAAGAGAACACGGGAGCCCTTGAGGCTGGCTCTCTGGTCTCAAGGCAGAGGGAGGGAGGGGGGTGACTCCAGCATACAGAGGCCTCGTGGCCCCCAATGTGACCCTGAGTCAAAGCTCCATTCACAAAGGCAATGGTGGCTTACAGGCAGACTTTTCAAAGGCCGGGATCATGGCACTGGGGCCCAGTGACCCCATGGGAGTTCCCTGCCTCGCGTGAGGCAGAAGAGATACTGGGAAGTTAGGGGGTTGGACGTCTCTTCCACCTTTCCAGCTGGCCTTAGCTCCACTGTCCAGGGGGCAGGGGCAAAGGAGGACCAGGTGAAAGCCACAACCAGCAGCTCTAAGGCTCCTCCTCCTCCTCCTCACATGTGACGAGAAGAGTTGCTGAAGTCTGGAAAGAGATTGGGGTTAAAAGCTCTGCAATGCCCTTCCGCCCAGTCCTGGTGACCGGCCAGAGCTCTCCCCTCACCAGCCAGTGCCCCATCCTTTTTACACTGTGGAAGGCGAGGGTGGGCTGCTTGGAAGCACTTGCTCCCATGTGCTCTTCTGTGTGGTGAAAGATTCAAGCTGGAAATTGCTCCCTGTGGTTTTTGTTTTGTTTCAAAGTCTTTTTGTTTCAAGGACAATAAAACTTCTGATCAGGCAGGACGCAAATGTCATTCCTAAGATTCATATTTACAGGAGTCTACAGTAACAAGAGAGGCAGCTTTTCCCCCTGGACCTGCGCCAGGTGCCCTTGGCCCTGTGCCCAATGGACTCCACCAAGTCTACGTGGACCTTTGGTAACTCAGCCCTTCCCCCCACCCCCAGCCCTGAAGCCATGAGGCCAAGCCCTCTTCGCTACGTTCCTCTCTCCCTCTTTCCAGGCATCTAGGGACCACTCTACTGAGAGCTTGGTAATTCATGTTGACATCGGTTCTCTTGCCCTGGGAGCAATGAGTTCATAAAAAAGTGTTCCTGTGCCCAGGGCCTGGGCAAGGCATTCTCACCTGGCAGGCACAGAACCACCAATGCGAGCGATAAAGCATCACAGTTTGAAAAGTCCCTTCTTTTTATTCTTCTTTGAAATCCAGACACTGGTCTGAGGTGTTGCGCAGGCACCTTCCACGGTCCTCTTCATCTCACAGGTAGATCTCCCGCTTGGCAGTTTGGGACGATGGTGTGGTGGCTGCCTGGAAGTCCGAGGTCTGGGTCAGAGGGATTTCCTCCATGGGGGAGTCCTTGCAGGGCTCATGGCTACTGTTGGAGAAGGCACTGTACGTGGGGAGCAGATGGAGGTTAGCCATTTTGGTGTTGCGCTCTTCTGAGAGTCTGGGGCTGCCATTCCCAACTTGTTCTTGACTCCCTCTGTCTTGATAAGGCACAAATGTGGAGAGTTTGAGGGCGTTCTTGGGCCTCCGGCTTGGAGAGGACTGACCTGGCATCCAGCAGGTGTCAGAGTGACCAAACTCTGTGCATTCCCGGGTGCAGTTCCCTGTCATGGCTACGTCAGGCAGAGGCCGGAGATCTGCATACAACAACAACAAAAAGGAAGGAGAGGGAGGAGGATTAAACACGCATAGAGACACAGTGCGCAGTGTGAGAAGCTGCTATGGCCAAACTTCAGGCAAATCATGCCTGGGAATACACACCCTCAGGAGCCATCTTCCTCACCTGTCCTTTCTATTATTGCAGCGCTGCATTCCTCACAGAAGAAGTACCAGAAGTGAGGACTGGAGCAGAGGCAGAGTTAGGGGAGCACCACTGGTTCAGACACTCTGGGCACAGAGCCTTGGGGGGGGCACCACTAGGATGCAGAATGCAAGGCGAGAGGGTGCCAAATTTTGGTGTTGCGCAGGGCGCCGCTAAAAGTTGAGGACCCAAGGTCTGCAACTGACTAGAGAGTCAAGCAAAGCACTAGTCCTCATGGGTTAGGTGAGTTGTATTACTATAAAGGTAAAGGGACCCCTGACCATTAGGTACAGTCGTGACCGACTCTGGGGTTGTGGCACTCATCTCGCTTTATTGGCCGAGGGAGCCAGCGTACAGCTTCTGGGTCATGTGGCCAGCATGGAGTGGTACCTATTTATCTACTTGCACTTTGATGTGCTTTCGAACTGCTAGGTTGGCAGGAGCTGGGCCTGAACAACGGGAGCTCACCCTGTTGCGGGGATTCGAACCGCCGACCTTCTGATCGGCAAGTCCTAGGCTCTGTGGTTTAACCCACAGCACCTCCCGTTTCCCATTGTATTACTATATGCCAGGCAAAAAGACTGAGGCCTGGTCCAGACAACAGAATGAGGCTGGACTAATATATGACCGAGTCCAGATGGGGCAAAATGAACGCTAACACTTCAGACTGTAGCAGAGGGATCAGAGGTGTGCCTGCTCTTCTACATTAGGAAAATCTTTACATGTAGAAAACACAGCAAAGGAGAGAAAAGGCTAGAGAGAAAATTTCTCCCGAAAGGGTTTTGTTTTTTTACCTGCAGATTTTTTTTTCTTTAAAAATATTGGCATTCCTCCCACTTACAGTCTGAAATGCCTATACAGTCTACCTTCTCCGGGATTCTTTCATCTTATTTACCTTCATGTGCAAACCAAGCCTATAGCTTAGGCCAGTCTAAAGAACTCTGTCTTTCTGTTTACCTCTGGTTTGGTTTGGTTTTTTGCACATGTGCGTATGCACAAACATACCCTCGACCCCACACCCTACAGGATCGTAGTACCAGTTCTCATTTCAGCCAGATTTCCTTTATTTGCCAGCAGAGCCCACCTCTCCTTCCCAAGGGGGCACCTGGGCACCAAAAACCAGCGGCCACTCCCCAAGGTGGCAGCTGCTCCCCTGCCTAGGCTACAGCTGACGTGGACATAGAAAAATAAACATATATATGTATGTTGCGATGAGAATATTTTCATGCACAGAACTGAACCCTAGATGCCTAAGTACTTGCAAGGCACCTCACTAGTATTATGGCGCAGAGGACGGACTTGAACTTCAACTAGGGAAACCTGGATTCAGCTCCCAGCTCAGCTGTGAAGGCTGCCAGGGGACTTGGACAGTCATTCTGTCCCATGATGGCCTATCTCGCAGGGATGCCTAGATGGAAAAGAAAAAGTAGCTCAGACTACTTAAATAAATTATATGTTTCTGCTTTTGTGTGTTTATTGCTTCTGCCCAACTGTGGCTGTTTGGGCCAAAGGTACACAACAGATCTCTCGCCATGCTTTTATAAAAAGAATTTTTCACTGGGGAAGGGCATTTTTAATCCTGCAAAGAGGAGGGCTTAGCCTTTCATTAAAATAAAACCCACACTATGAAGTGATGTTGTGATAAATGTACTTTAATTTAAATGTGATTTTTAATAAAAAAATAGTATTTACATTTAAATAAAAACATCCAGATTTCCAAAATAATAACTGCATGCCCGAGTTGATATTTTCTGCATTCTGCGCCATCTGAATTTCCATCCATGGATGCTTCTCCCTCCCTCCCTCCCGCTGCCCCCCACAGAAACCTGTGAAGCTTCAGTGGAGGGGGATGTGCTGTGTTTGGTTTATTCATATGATTCCATCACCTGCAATTGCTTGCCTATACTAAGAAGGGGCACAGAATGGGCGAGGTGGGCCAAGGGATCCGTGCCCTGAGGGTGAAGAAGCAGGCTGGACAAACAGAAAAGTGGCGACACTTTGAGCTCACAAGAAGGGAATTCACAAGGGCTGGAGGAGGAGAATTCCCCACTACTACACATGCTTAAAAATACCCTGCAATATCTCTATTTATGGGCCCATTCCTTCAAGCTCCGACACCAATTATCCACGCTAATTATTGTCACTACCAATTAAGGGAGGACAAGTCAGTCTAAGATAGTGTGTGTGTGTGTGTGTGTGTGTGTGTGTGTGTAATATCTTATGGAAGTTTGCCCTGTCCCACTTTAAAGTTGACCTAACAACTTGTAAAAGGCTATAAAATACTGGTGTGTTGCAGACTGCAGGCAGATACACTAAAATAAAATAATAAAATAAAATAAAATAAAATAAAATAAAATAAATAAAATAAAATAAAATAAAATAAAATCCCCTTCTGCCACCCATCCTGAGCACCCCAATGCTAGCTCTGCTAATGTCCCCTTATGCTTATGCTAACCAGGAAATCGTGTTACATCTATACTTCTGAATGCTCCACTGGTTCACTGCTTTGTCTGAAGGGATCACGTGGATCACCTTTCCTGCCCTCCCACATAACCACGCCCAAAATGCCGAGACTGATTCCTCTTGCCCATTGGCATTTGTGATATATACTATAATCGCTGCATAGGATTCCACACAGATGGGGAAGCAGACTAAAACACTTCAATGAATAAGCAAATCAATGAAGAATAATAAAGATGGAAATCATGAGCTCAGCCACCTCCCTTCCCCTTTGCTCTCCGTCGCCCAGAGATTCGAGCGACAACAGAGGCTTGGGAAGAAAAAGCAAAGGGACTGGATAATATATCTGCAGGGAGGCTCAGAACATGCCAGTATCCTCTTTTCCTGAGCATTTGAAATTGCATCAGCTGTCGCCTGTTGCACTCTTTGCCCCCGTGAGCATGCGTTTCCCCAAGTCATGCAGCACTGAACGTTTCTGTTTGGTTTTGCCCAGTTTTTGGTAGCAGCAAAGCGGAAGCACCTCTCTCTCTCTCTCTCTCTCTCTCTCTCTCTCTCTCCTCGCACTTCCACCCACGCCAGTTTAGCCAGCAGTGCTTTTGTTCCATCTCCCAAGGCTGCCTCCCAAAGACATCTCCATGCTGCTCCAAGCAGGGCTGCGCTTCCTAGAGCCCCACGTCCATTGCCTCCCCGCAACCCTCTCAAGGTGTGTGTGGGATTCGTAGGTCCCTGAGCCCACGCTCTCCCTTGGAAAGCCATGCACACCTACCTGGGTGCAGAGCCCCTTTCACAGTCTGCTCCATTCAGGGGACACTAATGAGGAGCAGAAAAAGGAGGAGAGGGTCACTCAGGATCAGGGCCGGATTTAGGTTGGATGAGGCCCTAAGCTACTGAAGGTCACGGGGCCCTTTATATGTCCAGCTGTCCTTTGTCAACAACAAATTGTCGCTGTTTTTTTGTGTTGAATATATGCTATATGGTCATTTGTGGACCTAATGGGTATCAAATGCCATTTGCCACTGTTGCTGTATGTAGGTTTTATTTTCCTTGCTTTTTATCTTATATTTTGGAAATGTACATCCAGTTTTTCTTCCTTTAATTTTTTTTGGGGGGTCCCAAGAGAGTGGGGCCCTAAGCTATAGCTTGTTTAGCTTATACGTAAATCCGGCACTGCTCAGGATACAGCCCCACTCTCAACTCCCTAAGCGTTCACTGTCCCACCTGCCCACCCAGCAATGCCATGGGGCTTTCACCACCAAAGTAGGGCAATGCTATCTCTCCAAGACCTGATCCTAGCCTCCCCAGAAACAGCCAGATCTGAAACCCATGAGTATTCTGATTCACGTCAACACCTTTTACAATCTTCTCTCCCCCCCACCTTCCAAATTGACAAAGTTTGTGCTCCTAACCTGCATTTTCACACAGCGAATCCCAAACTGTGGACCAGGCACACTTGTGTAGAGATTAGAGGGATGGACTGGGCCTGGGGAGACCCAAAATAACAGGCAAATTAAGCAGCTGAACAGACTGAGCAGCAGGGAAAGCAGACCACTCTGCCCTTTGAGCTAACAGATTCAAAGGTCCCAGGGAAACGAATTCAATAAAAACAGGCATGCAGGTGGAAAGGCACCAGGGGCCTGAGCCTAGGAACCAAGGCCAAGGCTTGTGAATCCAGAATCAGCAAGAAGGAGTTCAGGACTTCATGGGAGCTGAGAAGTTGTTCCAACAAGTATTCACGCCCACCAGCCAAGCTTTAAAGCTGAGGTGGGGTGCAGTCCTTACTCATGAGAATCTCTTCTTGCAGGTCTTGCCACCAAGAAGGTGCTACATCAAGATGGTTGGGTCTCCTGCCTCCCCATAGGTGCTGCCTTCCCCTGGGAGAGAGGGCTGGACCTGCCTCCCCCTCTACATCCTGCTCAGTCACCCCAGGCTGTGGCTCAGAGCCCTCCCCAGACACCGACAGCACTCTTTACCCCACAGGAAGCGGGGAAGAGGGCGGAACACCTGTCTCAACTTGGGGGCAATTTGGAGAGAGGGAAAGGCTTCCATCTCCTCCAACCTCTGACTCATCTCCCTCCTGAGTCTGCCATCCGGGTCTGAGCTCGAGGGTACTAAGATTGTAATGACATGGTTGGGTCTTGCAAAAGCACCCTAAGATTTCCACAGGGACCTTAGAAGTTTCTATTGGGGAAGAGCAGTTAGTGATTGTTTATTTGAAGCCCCCTTATGAGACATTCTGCTACTGTTTTTTATTTTTTATTTATTAAAGATTTTCTTGATTTACAAAAGTGTTTGCAATGTCTCTCTCTTGTCCCCCCCCCCATGTAATATTTTTAAAGATCAGTTTCATTTGTTGAGACATTAGGAAGAAAAGGGGGA